CACACACACATACATACACACACACACACACACACACACACACACACACACACACACACTCACACACTCACACATCTTTACAGACATAGTATATAGTAATACAAGCTCTTACCCTCTCTTAAATATTTAGAATATTCTTGAACCAGTCGTGCACAATTCATACAACAACGTACGACCTTTGTTCAAATGGACCCGACCTGCAAGACGAGATCAAACCCGGTAGAGTAGAGGCATGGCACTGGCCAGTGCACATTGTATCAAACACGACATAGTACATAATGTATCTGTTTTGCCTCGTCATATTTGACTCGGAAGTTCATTTTCTAATTCCGGACGCAAACTGAAGACCTTGCACCGCTACGTCATGTGACACGTAGTAACATTCCCATTAGCTGTTAGCCATGATTTTCACCAAATGCACCCGATCGTGGCCTAGAAAATTCAACTAGTTTTATTTTGGAGGATCGAATCAGACTGCCCCCCAAAAAGTGGTCGCGTTCTCCTCTCTATGAAGGAAACCTTGGTCTGCATCACATCAAACTGTCAACTGGAGATTAGGTGAACATTTCTGCAGTGAACACTACTTGAAAGAATTCTTATAAAGTAAATGTACATGACAGTTTGACTTTCACATATAAGGACAACGGACATAGGGCACGACTAACTGTAGACTGACTACGGAGAAGGGCATCTGAAAATTGCTCATAGAAACAGATTGACAAAAGGTAAACGAACTCATAATATTACACGCTTTCTAGTCTACTCACAAGCATGCACACACACACATACACACAAAAAACCACACACACACACACACACACACACACGCGTGCGCACACACACCCGATAACACACCCACACACACACACATTACCCACACACACACACAATAAAACACGCGCGCGCGCGCACAGACACACTCACACCCACACACAATAAAACACACACGTGTGCACACACACACACACACACCCACACACAATAAAACACACACGCGTGCACACACACTCACTCACACCCACACACACACACCTGTAATCCACTTCCACTTCATCTCTTCATCTTTGTCGGTGGCCCCAATCCACACGCCGTTCCGAGGCCATCTGTACGAGACCAGAGACCGCATCAGGAACGACTGAAGAAATACACAAAAACAAACAAACATATGTTATTAAAATCCGTGGTATATCTCAGACAAAGATCACATCACAAATGATGAAGTAAAACAACAGACTGGGCATGCAATTGGACCATATGCTGGCCTTCTCACTCTGGTAAGGAAATGCAAACCACAATGGTATGGACACATCACCCGTTCATCCGGCCTCGCCAAGATGATCCTGAAAGGCAGCGTCCAGGGAAAAAGGAGCAGAGGCAGACCGAAGAAGAGTTGGGAGGACAACATCAAGGAATGGACAGGTCTGGACCTCAAAAACACGCTCAGGAAAGCTGAAGATCGGAGAGTGGAGGAAGCTGGTGGTCAAATCTTCAAAAGCGCCCCGGCAGACATCAGGTCGACGCACAATCACTGTCCTGCCATCCCCCC